TTTTTCAGAGTTCCCTCTACTCCCCTTTACCGGTATCTCCATTCCTCTGCCCCCACCTCTCCCCTTGCTATGGGTACTAACTATTAAACTAACGACGATGATATGATTGAATACTAGTGAAACTAATTAGTTACGTAATTGGAAAATACCAATGGGTTAAGAAATTATAAGCTTAAGCTTACATAGAAACCCACCACGTGCAGTAATTGACATGCAGTGTAACTTAAGTCATTTGTGCAAAGCAAAAAAATTTTACATATCGAACAAAATCAAATTTCTACCAAAGCCCAGTGTAACGTGAAATTTATACCCAAGGGAGTTTTGTCGACTTCAGCCAATAAAAGGGCATTTGGATGTATACAAACTGGCAGAGGGTAATCTGAACCCCAACTAACAAATCTCTAACAGTTTGCAGCTGCAGCAGTTTGCCGTCGGAGAACATTGAAGTTCAGCTTACCTTTGTTGGAAAGAGAGTTGCCGCGAGCTTTGGAAGACAGCGAAACCGAGCCAGTCGATCTTCTGAAGGCAGGAAGAACCCCGTCGATACAGCTGTCTTAACATAATGTGGCCAGTTTACAATTAAGTTGATCATCTAGCTATATATTGCGGTCAAATTTGCGGCCCGCTTTCTGTGCATTGCTGGTGCACGAGAGCGCCCTGGGAACGAGGATGATTTCACTAGTTCCAGGGCTCACGACTGGGAATTTAAATGGCGTTTTGGGAGATTCAAAGAGGGATTTAAAAAAACAAAAAAACAAAACAGTTTTGGAACACCACGAGACAGTTGAACGCTCCCCGAAAGGGCACCCCAGGTTGGTGGACAACTGTTTGTTGTACGTCTACCAATTTTTAACTTCAAATTCAAATTTTAAAACAACATCAAATCTCAAAATTTCACCGTTTCTTGAGGATTGCAATAATCTTTACCACTCAAATTTTACTTGACCCATGTGTGGGTATAGGGTTGTCTCTGAGGGTTTGAAACCCTGACCCTGTTTAGGACAAAGAAAACCTAAACTTACAGTACCTACTCTGAGTAGGACAACACCCACTTATATATGACCATGGCCTGTACAGCAAAGGTTCAGCTGGGATCAGAGGATACCAACCACTCTACAAGTGTTATCTGGACTTGAAAATTATTTGACATTGACTGATGACCATCTAAAGGCAGGCAAATGTCTCTGACCTTAGGTTGCTGGATATTATTTGCACCACATTTCATGGCAATTTGTGAAACCCACCCTGTTTTGGACAGGTTCAGACCTGGTTTAGGACAGTCTCACATAATATTATTTACCTTGTACAGGGCAGCAAGTCCAAAAATTATTTCTCTGTCAGGTGAGGCATCCCCACATATGCCATATAACATATAAGTGAATTACCTCCCAACTCACTGCTCTGCCAATGGAAGCTCAATATTATGGAAACTCAAAAAAAAAAAAATTAACCCACCAGCCACTACCACCTAGCATTCAAGCTCGTTTAACCAAACTTAATTTCCCATGATTATAAAATACTATACAACACTACAATTAATAGCACACACAGGTTCAAGTTTCAGTATTCCTGTAGCTATTAAGTCCTTCTTAATTAATACTATTCACAAGCTATTCAAGAGCTAGCTGTGCAGCCCAAACTATCCAAATATTTTTAAAAGGCTTGTTTCTGATTGATAGCACCTTTAAAAAACACTTTTAAAACTCCTAGTTAGAACTACATAATTATTAGCAAAGTTACATAAATCCATGTTGGGCCAAGTGATCCATACTTTAAACTGGAGCTAGTCCCAGTTTTTGTCAAAAATTCTGCTTTGAAACCAGAGATGCTGTGGCCTTTTTTAAAAAAGACTCCAGTTGTTTGTTTGTTTTTCAACAACACTGAGGTACAAAAAAAAACATTCTTGACAGATTTGACCCCACATTTTAGAACTCTTTGTCTTCCCAGGGGGGTTCGTTGATGGCATCGCACTGAGTAAATTAACGTGCTGGAAGATTGTTGCCTGCCTGGTTTGACCATCTGAAGGAAAGTTTTTCTCGAAGGAAGTTTAATCAGTTCAAGGAGGTTTCCCTGCCTGTGAAAACATTAACTTTCCACATCAGATGTTGAAGAAAAAGTTGGAAACTGTACAAAAAGTTGAATATTCAATAATAGTTGATTGTTGAATAAAGAGTAAAAAGTTGAAGATTGTATAAAGAATTGAATGCTGAATAAAGAGTTTTCAATAATATTGACTAAAAAATTGAATATTAAATATCTTGAATAATTGAATGTTGGATGATAAGTTGAATGTTGAATAAAAGTGTTGAATTCTGAATAACAGCTGAAAATTGAACAAACAGTTAAATATAGAAAACAGAATTGAATATTGAGTGAGATGAATTGAAATTTGCTACATTTAGTATTTAGTAAAGGCTGTAGCCAGACTAAAATTCTTACTGAGGCAATATTGGGAAAAATGCTCCTTTTTATTGAATTTTTTTTAATGCATTGCCTCCTACGAGAACTTGAATTTTAAATTTAATTAAAAATTTGTGCCTGTTACTACATTGGCCAATAAATATCACTTTTCATAAAACACAACCTTTCTAACTAAGATTAAATTATAATTTATTTCCTTAAATTGCACATGGCTATTAAGTGGCTGATTCAAACACGACAGCATTACGCCGAGCTTCAGTCAACTTTGTATCTTCCTTGGTAATGACTTTGACTTCTCCATGTTTGATTGTATGAAATTCTTTTTGTGGAATTCCCTTGCTGTGCAGTATTTCCCTCAGCTCTTTAGGTGGCTGAAGATAATGCTGAATAGATGAATGAACAGAAGAACAGTTCAGTTGAATATTGGGTCTTTCCATAGTAATATCAAAAGAGGAATGTTTTGTACACAACTTGGTTCACCCAAGCACACGTGACAAATAGATTCCCAACATATTCACTTGAGAAAGATGTTGTGACAGCGTCGAAAGCTTGTGATCGCTAAAATATTGACTCTGCTTCTGTGTCTCATTCCTTATGATGTCTACCACTGAGTCAGGAAACAATATCTTTACTCAATATTAAAAGCTGGCTTAAACAAGTGTTCCACCAAGCTTTTGCACTCCCTTTTAGGATGGTCAACACTATCCCTATACAATCAAATCATTCCTAAGAGTGCATACAAAAAGAGTAAAGAGGATCATTAGCTTGGAGGGGTTGGTTCAGCAGCCCATTTCCAAGTTCTCCTTTGCCTCTGTTTCAAAATAATTAGCCTTGTGCAAAGCTTTTCTCATGAAAACACAGGCAGCCCAAGCTCTCTCTATGAACCACACAAGCAACACAATATGGCATCGAATTATAAGGGTTTATATGGGATTTTCTACAAGATATCCATGGAGGTAGTTGAAAGTGAAAATTCTCAATAAAAATGGCTTACCTTATTCCATATGAGCGTTGTTTGCTCCTGGTGTGGTTATTTTACCTATTTAACTTGATTTAAGCGACTTTTTTGAATTCCAGAGGATAAGGCAAAACACCTCAGTCGGAACACCCTGCCGAACGAAGTCAAAAATCCCAGGGTAAAATGTACCCACAGCCACAAATCCACTGCAGAATTCAAGGGCAAAGGTTGATCTTTCATTTCAATCCTCTAGCCACACACAATTGCAGCCCTGCGAGGGACACCAGGTGGCTCTTCGTGTCCCCAGTGAAATGATAAAACGATGGAAGAGCTCCGTGTCTGTTTGATCCACGACCCAATGACCGTTGAAATCAGCTTGGTAACCTCGTCATGTTGGCAAACCAAGACTCGCGGGGGTACTTGACCGCAATTTGTCAAATTTGTCAAAGGTAAGATCAACGGCAAAAGCTCTGTAGAAACTGAGGAGATACAATCATTTTTGAAGTGGAAGTCATGGTAAGTTTTCACGTTCATGCACCTTTGAGTTACTTGGTCCTTGCCTCACCAAGTTAACTTCATCTCCCCATAATTCGTTAAGAATTCTCCCAAGCAAAACAGAGTTCAATTTGCTTTCTCTTCGTATGCTCTAGACAAAATTTTGCTGGCTTCCATTACAGTTTCCTCACAATATTCGTAATTCCATAATATCCTTAGAGAAGCAAATTTAGTTTATCAGCTCGGGAATATTTTATACAAACAAATCAAAGGTGCATAAACGAGAAAACTTACCACAACTTCTACTTCAAAAATGATTGTATCTCCTCAGTTTCTATGGAGCTTTCGCTGTTGATCTTGCAAAAGCGTTCTGTACGATTTTTATTTTGCATTGTAAATTCAACCTGAGGGGACCCCGGGTGTTACAAGAAGTTTGGTTGACAAATTACTGTCTAGTACCTCCGCGAGTCTTGGTTTGCCAACATGACCAGGTTACCAAGCCAATTTCAACGGTTGTTGCGTCGCGGATCTAACAGACACGGAGCTCTTCCATCGTTTTATCGTTTCACTGGGGACACAAAGAGGCGCCTGGCGTCCCTCGCAGGGCTGCGATTGTGTGGCTAGAGGATTGAAATGAAAGATCGGCCTTTGCCCTTGAATTCTGCGGTGGATTTATGGCCGTGGGTACATTTTAGCCTGGGATTTTTGACTTTGTTCGGCAGGCTGCTCCGACTGAGGTGTTTCACCTTGTCCTCTCTTTATGAAGGGAATACCATAATTCAAAAAAGTCGCTTAAATCACGTTAAATAGGTAAAATAACCACACCAGGAGCAAACAACACATGTATGGAATAAGGTAAGCCATTTTTATTGAGAATTTTCACTTTTAACTACCTCCATGGATATCTTGTAGAAAATCCCATATAAACCCTTATAATTCGATGCCATATTGTGTTGCTTGTGTGGTTCATAGAGAGAGCTTGGGCTGCCTGTAATGAAAATGAATGCAAAGATAAAACATACAAGTTTACCCAATTGAATTGTTTCACAGCAGGAAGACTTGTTTTGACGCAGAGGTGAAAGGTAACTTAACTGTACCAACCTCATAGGATAGATTAAAGGTTCCCCAGTGAATACCAAGAGAAAAGTTGGATTGGATATCTTCATGGATCTCAACTGCTTCTTGAGGATCAATATGCTGGAATTCCATCAATCCCCTGTAAGATATGGCACAGACTAAGAAAGCATACTTTCACTTATGTCTGAAATTGCAGCATCCAAAAGTTGGCTAATAATTATTGTAGAAGTCTTAAAATGGGTTACCTTGGTTGGTAAGCTCCAATGGGAATTGCAGCCAGATCAAATGGTCCATATCTCTTGCCAATCTGCTTAAAAATGTGGCAATAACCAGTGTCACCAGCAAAGTAGAATCTATGTTGTGGACCGATAATTGACCAGCTACCCCACAACACCTTGTTAGTGTCATTTAATCCCCTGCGACACCAATGCTGTGCTGGAGTAAAGGCAAACTTTACTGCTTTGCTTTCATCTGTAAATTTAGGATGGGGATGTTCTTCCCACCACTCAAGTTCAACTACATTTTCACATCCACAATCTGTCATCCATTTAAGAAGTCCCATTGGCACAAACCAATGAATTTTATTGCCAAATCTCTTGTTAAGGTTACAGACTGTGTTGTAGTCAAGGTGATCATAGTGGTTGTGACTGATACAAACAGCGTCAATATCAGGAAGTTCATCCACAGTGCAAGGGACAGGACGATATCGTTTCACTCCAATCATACTAGCAATACCACAGTAATAATTGAACACCGGGTCTGTGAGAATATTAAGACCGTCCATTTGAATGAGCACAGTTGCATGACCAATCCAGGTAACCTGGATGTCATTTGGTGGAGGAGCATCTAACACTGCTTTGTCTGGGCTGAGAACAGGTAGAGTTCTATCTAATTCCTGTAGAATGAATGAAAAATTATAATACAATAATTGGACCCTGTTAATTCAGACTCAGTTAACTAGAATTCACCATTATTTTGAGCTTTAAACCACTTCCCTTGAATTTGCCTTTCAGTCATTTACAATCGCCTATGCTGAACTCCCACTACCATGAACTATGTTTCATTTCCCCTCAAGAGGGGGAAATAGCAAGTTAAACTGCACTCAGCTTTATCACAGGCCAGATCACAAATGTCATTAATGGTAGCTATACAGGGAACTGTATTTATGGGACTGGCAACTCGATCTATGCAAGGCAGGAGAAGAGAGGGAGGGGGAACCAGGAAAAAGAGAGAATATTTTTGGCAACTGTTTCTATCGCATGATAGTTACATTTTGTGGTAGAAAAACTATTAATTAAGAAATAGAAAACACGCACTGTGTTTCTATTGAGTTATAGAAACACAAGTGAAAGTTTGGGAGAATGAGAAACACAAGATGACAGGCGAGTGTTTCCACAGCTTTTTGAGTTCTCCCAAACCTTCAGGAGTGTTTCTATAACTCAATAGAAACACAAAGAACATCTACTGTATTTCTTTTACGAAACACCACAATGAAAAAAAGAAAAACAACTTGTTTACTTCGATCATCAAAAATGAAATTCTCTTTGCTTGTGTCATCATTACGTCAACAGCTCGTCCTACAGTAGTTCTGTGTTTCTATCGAGTTATAGAAACATGGTTTTGAACCAATCAGCGCACATATTTGATTTGGGTTATTTTCTAATAAGTTATAGTAACTAAACCTAGTAGAGAACAGTTCAGGGAGTAATCACACAAACAACTTCAAAATTGAACAAGCTAGCAATACGAGGCTGTTTTTATGAGTATGATTATTTCTCCGATATTTGTACAGCATGAGGTCCGATTAATAATAAATTAATCATATCAATAACAAATTTCAAAATTAAAAGTTTTTCAGCACTTCCTTTGAGCGAAAAAGTCACTGGCGCTTTCCATAAGTTTTAAAACTGCAGGAAAAGCTATTAAAACATAGGCACGCAAGGCGTGCGAGAGTT